TCTGCTCAAATTTATAAAGTGGAATTCTTAAATGAAATTATGTATCTTTCTTGAACTGCAATTCCACTGATCTTAACAAATCAATGTTATTTAAAAAGAAATACGTCAATACTGTTAATGGCAATCACCCTAGAATATTATATATGCATATATATGTATATACAATTGTATAACAGGAAGAGAAATTTATCGAAACGAATATTGTTTGCTCGAAATTTCTTTTGTCTTCTAAATGTTTGAGTAGGAAACTTCCCAATATTGAAATTCATTTTAATTCAAAGGATACAAAACAATGCCTCTAGCATTATAGAAGTATTCATATACATATATATATATATATGTTTGTGATACCATTGAGTATTTCTATAATGTGACTGAAAAGTTTGTGATTTATGTCAACGGAAAAGGCAAGATCACGCTGTAGGCGAAAACAATATACTATGTCAGTTAACTTGCTCTTTTGTATTTCTATCCACATATAGATTCAGCGAGAGATGGTTTTATTGTTTGCATCTAATGGAAAATTTACATTAATTGTGTAATTGACTCTTGGAACACAGTCTTATTTCTAGTAGTTTGTTCCATGAAAAATTTGTTATTTCAGCAAAAGGTCTTCAGTGAATGAAAGTCTTTCAAACTAAATTTTCCTGAATATTTGCACTTTGCAGAAATACGTTGCTATGCATCACAATAAAGCCGTTTCTATTGACATGGCCTCAGATTCAAGGCTGTTTCGCACTGTTTTGGGTAAACAATCAACATTTCATTTTCAGTGTGAGTTTTATATCTCTCCCTCTTGTGTTTAACATTACTGATTTTGTGTTACACTGCTATAGTACATCTCCATTTTCGTTCCTTTCTCTCCTGGCCAGCCATCTGATACTCCGTACAGAGCCGGCAAAGGCAGCTGTCGATGAAATTCTGCAGTAGCCTGTTGGAAAAGCTTTTTGTGGCGCGCCAAGTTTCTGACCCATAAAAAAAGAGTGACTTAACATTAGTGTTGGGAATCCAAATTTTGTTGCTTATGCTGAGGAGTAGAGAAGATTTCCACATTGAAATCTTGAAATGTTCATCCGTTCGGCATGCCCGTAGTTGAAACGATGCAGCTTAGATAAGTGAAGAAAGTGACCTCTTTCAGATCTTTCCCGTCGACAGTGGCTGGTACTGGTGTCTTTTTGGTGGTCGGTGGCTAACTTTGTCACCTCGATATTCTCTATTTTCACCTGGGGTCATGTCTTTGCTGCCAGACTCTTCTGCTAGTTTATTGATTTTCGCCCTTGAATCTTCGAGTTTGTGTGACAGTATACATAAACCGCTCTCGAAGTTCACTTCTTCTAGATTCTCCTTATCACTCCAACATCTTGTCTTCTCGCTTCTCACGGCCTGTTGCACAATCCAGTTCACTACAATTAGGATTATCATCTGTAATAGCAGGCAGACAGCCTTCTCTTACTCCTGTCTTCGTTTCAAAGGTTTCCGTCATGAATCACTTGACATGTGATGGTGTCATAAAGCTGTTGGATGAGGTCGATAAAGATTTGGAGCACCGCTCTCAACAGTGTTGAATTACTTTCCAAATTACTTCACGGTCAACACTGTCAAAGGCCCCTTCAAACTCGACGAAATCGAGGTAGGGATTCGATTGCCATTCTATGCTCTGCTCGATGGTGATGCGTAGAGTTGCAATTTGATTCACACATGATTCGCTTTTCCTGAATTCAGCTTTTTTCGGGTGGAGTTTTAGATTGATTAAAATGCGAATGCAAAAAACAAAACAAAAAGCGTTAAGTGTTTAAGAAAGCTTTAGCGCTTATAATCGATACTCAGGAAGCTTTTCGCTTCAGTCCACTCCATAAGACAATTTATCCTCTTCAGTTTTGAGTTTCCTTCATTTCGTCTCTAATTTGTTTATAGTTTATTTTAGAAAACCGTCTTGTACACCTTAATTTTATGCCTGTATTGATGAATATATATACATATACTTCTTGTGAAAGCATAAATACTTTCAAATGATAGTGAAAGCTTCGAAATATGAGTTTTTTAAACCAGTCCATTCTTTGCTCAAAGAAGTATAAACTTACTTGCAGGTAACCTGACAGTATAATATGGATGGAGGGAATATTTTTCTTCTGGTAAATACAGCTGCTTTGTTTCCAGATAAAGTTTTATATTAGTTAATATATCCTCTATTATTTAAGTCTGATTCGATGGTTTCCCCCCAGTAATAAAAACTAACCACCTTTATCGGGACATTTGTCTCGAGAGAAACTCGGTTAAAATGAGATGTCAGCTTATTTACTTCACCGACATGAAACGTGAACACCGTAATCGAATAATAGTTTGTAAAATCCTTCCTGAACGATCTAGTTACGATATTGCTGCTCATTTAGACATTTCAACTAACTTGGTAATTATTAGTCGTTTTTCTCCCTGACTGTATATCACTGTTCTGACATTTGCATATCGTATGTTGACGCCATCTCTAATATTTATCTGTGTTCCTGTTTAATCTCATATGTTTATTCCTCTTCAATGTGCTTGCGTGATAGCGTTGATAGTGTGTTGGTTTACGAATGTGATTTTCAAGTACTGGTTTGTAGGGATTTGATTGATTGGTTACAGGATTTCATCATGAGCTGACATTGGTTAGAGAACCATTGGAAAACCGCCAAGGAGTATTGGACAACTGATTCGTCCTATTTTAGGGCTCTCCAACAGTACACACCCACCGGGGTTCGAACCCAGGACCTTCTGGTTACAAGGCGAGCTCGTAGACCACTAAGCCACTGGGACCCAATCCAATTCACGATATAGTGCAACCGCTAGTCAATGTCTTCGGCAAGTATTTGTCCTGACACCCGACCTGCTGCACCCTACTGGTCACGACTTCCCACTGGAACCCCAGGTAACTACCTACCTGAATAGGGCCAGTCGCCAGTGAGCATCTCATCGATATTCAAGTATTGGTTTGTAGAGATTTGGTTGATTGGTTACAGGGTTTCATCATGAGCTGACATTGGCTGGAGAATGAAGCCCAGGTTGACGGTGGGGATTTTCACGTTGGACTGTCTGCAAGAGTTGTTTGGTGTGTGATTCTTGATGACAGAGTTTTGATCCCACCTTGTTGGGAATATTCTACTTGATTTTCAGATAATTCACACGACTGATTTTAGGTTAACTAGTTTTATTATATTGTACTCGTTTTGTGCTGAGGAATCCTCTGACTTGTATATCTGCTCAATGGCACTTTTGAGGTAATTTTGAGTTTTTGATAAGTCACCATTGTTAAATGGAAACACAGAGTGTACCCCAAGTAACTATATTTTTCCAAATACTGGGGACTTTGGGACTGTAAATCACTGGGTGAAATTTTCGTTAGCTATCCAGTAGAACACAAAGATTGGTTTACAAAGTTCAGATCACAACCCGCCCGTTTCAGCTCCTACAGAAACTACTCTGAAGTATATTCATTACCTAGTCTGAAATTGTTGTTTAATTATAACATAAAAAGCCTTCTTATTTACTCCAGTAATACTGTGTCTTTCGGAACATGACTGATTACTAAGCAACGCTTTGATCACTAGTCATCCTGGCGCTTAGTTTTATAAACCTTAAACGGTCCCATGTAGCCTAGACTTCGCTTCTGCTAGTACTCTGCTGCAACGTTATTGAAACTAAAATTCTTCTTCAGTGAGGAAATACTCAGGTTTGATCACGAGTTAACATCAGTTAGAGATTAACTGGAAAACATGGGAGTACTGGACAGCCGCTTCATCCCATTTTGAGACTTTTCAGCTGTACACACTCACCACAGGGATTCAACCCTGGACCTTCCACTTACAAGGCAAGCTCGTAGACTATTCAGCTACTGGGACGCAGTCTAATGGCTCATGAATTCCAACTTCTGCCAATTTGCTACATATTTATGTCACGGGAGAGTAGCTAACTCCTACCTGACTTTTTGGCCCGGATGGTTATGACTTCTGACTTTATAGAGCCAATCAGTAATGAGCATCCGACTGAATATAAGATGTTCGTGTGTACCGATTTGGTTAGTTACAGGTTTGATCACGAATTGATATCATTTCGAACCTCAGTGAGTGCGTCTCAAACTAGGACGAAAAAAAGTGTCCAGTACTTTCAGGTTTCCCAATGATTCTCTAACTGACGTCAACTCATGTTCAAACCTGTTACCAATAAAATCCTTGCAAACGAACACTTGATGATACTAAACTTCATCAAGAAGTGAACATTTGAAAATTATTACTTCAAATTGGCTTAAATAATGACCGGATGTGAATACATTTTATCGGCATCATTACTGGTGCATTATTTCTTTCATAACGACTTACTGTTTCTGATTTGGCGAGACAGGAAGGCAATTATTTACTGGTTCAATTTATAAAAAAATATGAGTAATTTTGATATTCATAAATGAACATGCAAAGGAAGATTCTACTACAATTCTGGTGCTCTTCGAAATCTTATGAGCTGTTTCAGACTACAGTTTCATAAAACTGAGTGAACCATAAAACTTCATAGTTTGAAATCTGAAAATCTAAAAGCAGATTTTTTGGGATCATTCATCGCATAATACGTTCATTGCATTGTGCATTGGTGGCTTACTGGTAGAATACTCGCCAACCACGCAAGTGGTCTGGGGTTCGATTCCTGGCCGACGCACTCCTCACTTAGCTTGTATTAGGCTTGGTAAAGAGGGAAGGTGTGATGTGAGGTCAGTGACCCCCCACCCCATAAGAAACAATGAACCCCATAACTACGGAAAGTTCATAGCTCATGCTTGAAGCCAGCCCTATGTTCTACTAGAAATGCAAAAGCATAAAAGCATTCTCACAATTCTGCAAGCACCTTTAATCATTTCAGTGACAGCCTATTCACCATATTCGCTAACTAAATGTAAAACAACCAAAATGCAACCACTGACCATCATTAGTTTTTCTTTATTCCCACTTATCTTGACGACGTCATTTTACAGTAAGCGGTATTATAAATTTAAAAAACAAAAATAATCACTCAATATTTTCTGTTCACTTTGTAATCAAACTTTAGCAAGAAACAAAAAATACAGTTTGTTTTTAAACAAAACGTGTGGAAAAACAAAACGGAAATAGTGTTTCACAGTCAGTTTCAAAAAACAAAAAAAAGACACGCACACATCAAAAGTGAATGGCAAATCAAGTACAGTATTTTTATTCTTTTCTCCTCTTTTCCTTTGTGTATAACTCAGAGAAACAAAAGACGAAGGAAGGTAAGAAGAAAATTGGACATTGTTCAGGGAGTAGCGCAAACTGTCTTTCCGCCAAGTTTAAATAATCTCTTCACAGTCAGATGCAAACATTCACTTTTCGGTTTAATCTTTAAATACTTTTAAACATACAGGAAGAGGGGAAAAGGTAATATGTATATATGTGTTTATTTATATAAGTATTTCTCGTTTGTGTTTTACTATTTTTAAGAAATTACTGTTCTAATTACAAGACTCTGCTATTTTTTTGTCAGTATCAGTAGAATTTGTAGAATCCTCTTTATTGATGTTTATCACAATGATCTTTTTCATTTAAGGGGTTGAAGTGTGCAAATTTATACTTGTGTTTGTAAACAGTAAGAACAGCAAGAATCTTTCATTGTTCTGTGAACCTGTTGACAAAATGGCAGGGGAAAAAGTAAAGAAGAAAGTTATCATTCTACTGCTTATCTTTTATTCAGTTTGTCTCTAAAGAAAACAAAACATTCTCTATTCAAAAAGCGATGAATTACACTAATGACAGTATCCGCATCTTAGTAAAATAAACAAACAAACAATAATGATAATGATAACAATAGTAAGAACAAAAATCATCGATGTATTTGTTGCAATGTGTTTGATGGATCTCAGTAGAGCAATCAGTAAATAACTTCACCGATGACATAGAATAATGACAGCATGTAGATGACAGCACACTGTAACACTAGACTCTGTATGAGAAATACCTGAACAGTAGCGATTAGTTTCATCACCTCTCAAAACGAACGACAAAAAACTTCACAATAATAAATAACTTAAAAAATTCTTTGAACTATACAATACACAGTACTGTTTCATCGTAAGACTAAATTTATTAAGGTTGATTTGTGGCACAGTTTCACTGGTTTGCCACATATCCAGAAAGTCTTGAGTACCTGGCATATTAGGGATGAAAAGATCTAAAGATTATATATTAAAGGAAAGGAATGTCAACATTTACTATACTTCATTTTAATTTTTAGTAGCATGTAACACCTTAACATACACTTTCATATCAGAGAATACAAAGGGATACTGAAAACTTAAAAAACTGTGAAATGTTATATCTATATCATCATTCGAACGTTCGTTTTGTTCGCTACTTAGACTTACACCTCCCGGAATATCGATGATAAACGAGGCATATTCGACTTTTGAGCATCTTATGTATGAGTTAATGAGTCATACTTGGGTTAGAATTCATCGGTGAGCGTAAAGCATAATATAATGTCGTGGATATATTCGAAATCTTGAAGTATGTAACGCTTTATGATAATAATAATAATAACAGTATATGTCACTTTGTAAAGGAATGAATTTCATTTTTGAGAACATATTTCCTTCTTAACTTTGTGTTAAGACGAAACGTTTGAATGCAGTGTATACCTGATTATCTCTTTTGAAATTTTCTAGTCTCCCTAATTGAAAACAAACCTTTATCACTCTGGAATCACTGTGGAAATCCTCTGCACTCAGCACCAAAAACAAGATTCGGAATTTCAACACTAATGATAAGTTTTAGTGGTGTGATACAGACAATGTATCCCAATGGAATATTATTCTCACAGTAAGAATCATTGTATTTGTTAGTACTGATGTCTGAATACTATTCCCACAGTTCAGTACTAGATTAGCAGCAGAATGCTATATACATATTTGAACATTCTATTTCATGTTGTTTAATGTAAATCAAAATCACACACTCAGTGAACGGTTAAGGAATATAAACCGTATAGATATAAATAGCTGTTTGATCACTTGAAAATATACCTTAGCTTCCTTGTCTTGCCTTCTGCTGTTACAAAGTCACTTCTTTTATGTGGTCAGAAACATGGAGCACGTGTCATGAAAAGCACTTTCAAAAGCCAGTTGCAGACTTCTATCAACAGCTGTCTTCGTTCCCCCCATACCGTGGATCAGATGGCCGGCCAGAAGGAATTAACAAGAAGAAATTCTGAGGAGGAAGCTATTGCTCAAGAAATATGTAGGATAAAATGGAGACATACTGGACCCACGCTGACGGAACCATTGGGTGAGATCGTGCACCAGGCCATATCTCGAGTAGAACCCGCATGGGAAACGACGAGCTGGGCATGTGTCCGAGGGTGACATGGAGGCGATCATGTGAGAAAGAGGAGGAGGAGGAGGATGAGAACCTATGTATAACTATGTGGCCAGCTAAAGAGGACTGCAGAGAATAGGACAAAGTGGAAATGTCTTGTTAAGGCGATGTGTTCCACTCGGAACTCAAGGAAATAATAATATTTTATTTTAAGGTAAATTGTCACATTACTGGCTTCACAGATAGATCAGCCGACAATTTACTCCGGATACACCTTCTCATGTTTTTGGAATCAATAGCAAGCAGCACTGAATTACTTAAAACGATTATCACATATCTGTCAGATAATCTCTGTCTTCTAATAACACTATGCAAATTTATCAAAGTGACTAATTGTTATAAATATCATACTTCTGTCGAAGTCTATCCAATGATCCCTATTGTGGAAAAACGAATGGTATCTCTGTTGACTGACTGATTTTATGTTTTCCATGATAGTGTCCTCAAACAACAGCAACGGCCAACACTTGTAAAACTATGGCGCATAATCAAAAGAAAACTTAAGAACCTTATACCTTTTATAACCTTGTAAAGGAGGAGGTGTGTTATATTAGCCCTGATCTGTCAGGGTATCAAATTTCCAAAATGTCTGACAGTGTCTTCATCATATTTAGTAAACAACCAATCTATTACAGATGAGGCATATTCATCACCATCTGTGTGTTGTTTATGCTGCAGAAATAGATACGTCGATCGTTATGCCACCTCAGATCAAATCTTGATTAATAAATGAAGTGGATAAGTACCACCGATTCTCACGTCCAATTTTTTATCCCAACTATAAATATGTAATTCAAAAACCTTCAAATTGATGCACTAATGACCCACAATGGCAAGCAACATTAACGTTGATTTATTTTATTTCGAATCTGTTGAGAAATATTATGCAACTGTTCTTTTTTATTCCTTTACGTCCCCAGTGGAACATAGGGCTTCAAGCTAGAGGCTTGAAGTAAGTGGTGTATTCGGGATGGGGTTGTTGGCCTCATGCCCAACCTTCCCTCTTTACCAGTCTTATTAATAGCTTAGCTAGGTAAAAGAGTGCACCGGCCGGGGATCGTACCCTGAACCACCTGAGTGGTTGGCGATCATTCTACCGCTGTGCCACCGACGCAACTGTTCATTTATACACATTTTTCTAATTCAGATTTTCTTACTACATACTAGGTCAAATCTTGATCACAGTTTAAGCAATTTCGTTTACTTTACTTTTGATGACTATTCATGAATGATCAATGTACGAAGAATATTCTTTCCTATAACTTCATCAAATTCTGCAGTTATATAACAGTAATAATTAAAGAGTTATGATTACCAACAAAATTAAAGTTTTTTTAAAATAACATACCGATAGATTACAGCACGAAATCATCTGTGCGTGACAATATGCATCAGTATAATACTAAACTGATTGAATATCAGATAAATTAAGGGAAATAACACAGAATTGATGAATTATTAGGTTCGACAACAGGCCAGGGTAGCAATAGTGGCTGGACCTGCTTCTTTTGCACACAGAACTCCAGCTGTTTTAAGTGGATTACAATGGCCTCTGCAGTTTGGAGTGTTCGGTGTTTAGAATCTAGGGAATTCACTAGAAGATGGGGCCAGTTATATCGGCCATTGCTCCAGGAACCTAATTTTTCGTGCTGTTAAAGCCATCAGCAGTTCTATACAGGATCACTTCTTGCAAACAGACCACAAAGCTAACCAAATTGAAGAGTGTTTGCCTATCATCTATCGGGTATCCAATATATCACTAAAGGCCTTTGGATACTTAACACTGCAAACAGCAGATATCATTGCAACTCGCCTAAAACAACCAGGGGTATGCGTGAAACAAACAGGTCCAGCTACCATTGCTACCCTGACCTGCTGTCGAGCCTATAAATTCATTAATTCTGTGTTACTTCCCTTAATTCATTTGATATTTGGTTTGATGTTATATTAACGCATGTTATCTCTTACGAATGCTTTTCAAATGTAATCTGTTGATACTGTTGATTGAATGTAATTTAAAACACCATTAATGTTGTTTATAACAATATAACAACAAATAAATGTAAAACCAATTGGCGAGTTTATCAAAAAGAATCTTCTTTGTTCATTATTCGGTCTTTTAATTTTTACTAGGCACCTTCAGTGGACTAGTCATGATTCATACGATTAGACAAGGAATTTTAATGTATCTTTATGTATATATGAATTTACCTTTAATATTTTAATTTTGATTATTTCCTTGACGAAGTTCAAACTTGTTTGGCAAACGAAAGGTTGGAGTTATTTATTTCAACTTAGATGAGACTTATGAAGATATAATTCTAACATATATCTCTATAAATCTCTATCGAAATCAAACTAATTAGTGACTACAGGATTTCATCATGAGCTGACATCAGTTAGAGAACCATTGGAAAACCTGGGAGTACTGGACAGCTGTTTCGTCCTAGTTTGGGACTCTTCAGTAGTACGCACCCACCGCGATTCGAACCCAGGACCTTCTGGTTACAAGGCGAGCTCGTATACCATTAGGCCACTGGGACCCGATCCAATGGTCCATGAATTCTAACTTCTGCCAATTCACGACATAGCGCGACCCCTAGCCAATGCCTTCGGCGAGTATTTGTCCTCACGCCCGACCTGCTGCACCCTACTGGTCACGACTTCTCACTAGAACCCCAGGTGACTACTCACCTGAATAGGGCAAGTCGCTAGTGAGCATCTCATTGATTTTCGTGGTGGGTGCGCACTGATGAAGAGTCCCAAACTAGGACGAAGCAGCTGTCCAGTACTCCCAGGTTTTCCAATGGTTCTCTAACTGATGTCAGCTTATGATGAAATCCTGTAACCAATCAAATCCCCACAAACCAACGCTTGAAAATAATTAGTGACTGATTACAAGACCAAGCTACCTGGAGTTCAAGTGAGAATTCGCGACCAATGGGATCCACCAAACCAGAAGAGAGGACAAATACTCAACGATAATGTTGGCTGGCGGTCGTGCTAAAATCATCAATTGATAGAAATTAGAAATCCTGCGAAGCTATTGGATTCCGTCCTAGTGGCTGAATGGTTAACGAGCTTGGATTTGTAAACTGAGTGCGTTGGTTTTAATCCCTGGTTGGGAGTGAGGATGCGCCCTCTCGAAATGTTCCAAACTCGGACGAAACTACTGTCCAGTGCAAGTTAAATCTCTACAGACTAACCCCTCAGAATACTCATTGGAATTGCTAATTATCTTAATTTCATCTA